TTAAAAATAATTTTTTAAAGCATATTATTAAATCACATTCATATAATTTGAAAAATGGAATTTTTTAGGCCATAGTTTTATAGTATCATAGGAATATGTGTATCTTAATACTGCATTCTTGAATTGTAGATTTTGATGTGCTGGTTTCCTTGAATGGGGAGATTAGATAGTCATTGTCCCATTTCATTAAGACAAAGCATATGTGAATTTTGTTCTTTATGATATACAAATTTAAATAGATTTTTCACTGAATAGCTCTTACTTCATTGTACTTCAAACAGAATTTCTTATTTTGCTGTCTGTGCTGATAAGAAAATACTGTATAGTTTAAAACATTAATTGCTTATATGAATATTTTAAGCTTTATTCTTTAGTACAACTTTTATTTTATTAAGCACATGGACAGCAGGAAGGTCATAATAGGAGAAATATCACCATGAAATGAATTTAAATTGTTTTACTGAGTAGACTTCATTTGCACAAAAGGAAAGCAAGTCTCTGAAACCAATTTAATGGTCAGAAAAACTTTAAGGTCTAATACTTCAATCAATTTCTATGCTTTCTTTCCTGGGATGAGCACAAATAGGCTTCTAAATGTGTATTTAAAAAGTGAGTTGATGCAGTGCAGCACATTTGTGATTCTGCTTAAGAAACTCTGCAGCATTATTTTTTAAAAGTATTTTTAACCTATTGTGGGTTTACATTTCAGATAAGATAAATAAAAGATAACCTAATTTATATAATTTATCAAGTTATTACAAGTAAGACAATTTTAGTAGGCTCGAAATAGATGTTCATAAAAGTTTAAATTCCTTTTTTAGAAGATACACAGTGTTACTAATCACCATGTATCCTAATATTTTTAGTGCATCAGAGGAGATTTAACTACCCATTGGCAAACCCCCTACTTTAGGAAGATAAGTCTAGCTGTTGGAAGAATTGAATATATCTTTTCTACTATACTAAGCAGTAATAGTAATACGATGATAATACTGATGATATGATTATGATTACAGTAACATCAGTATTTTATATGTGCAAGACAGTTTATAAGCCACTTTGCTAAAATACTTAATTGAATAGCCTTTGAGGCCCATTGTGTGCCCATTTTGAAGATGAAAAATCTGATATTTATAGAGGTTCCCTAGCTTGCCAAGGCCACATTGTTGTGAAGAATTTATATGTAGAATGTGCTCTTATACTAGAATTACTCTAATGAAGCAACTGGACCTGTTAGGTAATTATTTATGGAGACATAATATTCGATTTTTATTTACAGATCTAGAGCAAATGTGGTAATATGTTTTAGATAAATGCTCATTCAACTTGACACATTTTAGAACTTAATTGTTTTGATAGGCCTATCAGGATATTCTGTAGAACTTTTTAAAAATAAGAGTTTAAAATCAATGTTCTAAGATCTTATTCTTTTTTTTTTGCAAAATGCTTTTACAGATTCATTGTTCCTTTTTTAGAATAATTTGTTTCTTCTATTGACAGCCTTTTCCCATACTTCTAATAGAAAATGGTATCATTTTCTGAATGAGCAGAATTTAGGTGAGGTTCTCTTGTTTTCACAACAAAATATCAACCATTTACTTTTCTCATTCATACTACTTAAACTCTCTACTGCACTTACTACTTTTTTTTTTTGTGACCGGTAAGGGGATCGCAACCCTTGGCTTGGTGTCGCCCGCACCGCGCTCAGCCAGTGAGTGCACCGGCCATCCTTATATAGGATCCGAACCCGCAGCGGGAGCACCACTGCGCTCCCAAGTGCTGCACTCTCCCGAGTGCGCCACGGGGCCGGCCCTGCACTTACTACTTTCTATTTCATGGAAGTGGCAGACATTTTCTTCTTTTTGAATCCATCTTCACTTCTAGGGAAGCCGTGTGTGCCTGAGCCCTGAGAGTTAGGAATTTTTCACGTTTCTTGCCTCTTTTCACCTCCTCAGTGTTGTGGCCAAACTCTGCCTTGTATCTGCAGTTGGTCTTTGTAGGAGTTTCATATCTCTACCCTAGGAGTAGGAGACCTCTACTTGGTTTGATGGAATATCAGGCCCAAGATGGTTACCCACTTTTCTTTTACTCTACTCTTATCTGCAAAGTGTGTTTGCTTGTGCCTTGTGTGTTGCCGTTTCTCTAGGAGCCTAGGAAGTAAGCAGTGCTTTGTGCCTTTTCCCCAGCACCACTGTTTATCCATTAGAGAGCTCTCTGTGTACTCTTGGCCTGCTCCCAATCTTTCTCATGAACTCTTAGTAGAGGTTTTTGGAAAAGCACTTGTAAATGAGTTCAAACTCCTCTTTTGTCAGGTGTACCCAGCCATCTCAAACTGCCATGCTAACCATCACTTGACCTTACTCAGTTCTTTAAAATGTTTAAGTGATTTCTGGTGTTCTCTCTCCTCTGCTTGTCCAGAATTTATATTCCTATCTTTTCTTGGAGTGGCTTGTCCTTATTTTGATTTCATGTTAATTGGTTGCTTTGTCACTTCAACTCTCTGAAGGGTTCAAGAAAAACATGATTTTGTAGTCCATCTGGCTTTTTGTTGTTGTTAAGGTAGGACAGTGTTCTTTGCAGATTTCTGCATTCTGATTAAAAGCAGGAAGTTTTAATTATTAGGTTTTGTTAGCAAAGAGTAAATAAAACTATTGCACTAACATTGGAAAATAAACTATGAATATTTGAAGAAAATTTACTGTTATGTTTTGTTTTTACAATAGAGATATCTTGGCCAGAAGCAATACTATTGTATTTTAAAACAATGCTTAAATTTTAAATAGAATATTTAACACATTTTTAAAACAAGCAAATAGTTGAATCTTCACCTAATGTCATTGTCAATATTATTTTAGAAAATGTCTTCGTAATAAGGGAATAAAAAGATGGCCTTAATGTACTCCAAAGATATTCTTGAATCAATAGTTGGGAGACTGCTGTTAACTGGGTTTTACCTTTGTAGTCAGTGAAAGCATGGATGTTAATAACTTTCAGTTTCATTGGTTACTGTTTTCCAGAAATATCTTCTGAAAAGATATGCTAAATTGCAAACAGCTTGATGGTAAAATAGCAATGTAAGCCTTTTTAAAAAGTTATCTAAGTTTTTTCTTGTAGTAAATAGAAAAAAATTTTAATTGTGTGTGCAGATGAGAAACCAAATCTATGACATGGAAACCTGCAAGACTGTTAGTTTATATCAGTCATTGAGTACCATGAGTATGTAGCAGCCATTGTGCTAGTTACTAAGAAAAAATTGCCTCCAAAAGTTGGCATCTTGATTTTTTGTGTGTGTGAATGTAAAATGGCAATTAAAATGTTGTGTAAATTAGTAAGTTTTTGGAGAAAGTTAACATAGGAGATAGTACTTAAAGTTTGGTATACTCTAGCTTAGCTGGGAAAATTGTCACTTTTCAAAGGCATGGTTTATGTCTTAGGTTTTGCCTTTTCTTTCCTTCATGGAGTAAAAAAAAGTCAGTCTCTCCTCTCTCTCTCTCTCTCTCTCTCTCTCTCTCTCTCTCTCTCTCTCTCTCTCTCACACACACACACACACACACACACACACACACACACACACACACACACACACACTCACACAAAAGGCTGAAACCTGGAATGAATAAATTGTTTATCTGATCATTGATATATTCCTCAGATGTTTTTTCAATATGGAATATTTGAGTCATCTGTTTCTTAAACCTACAAGACTGCTGGTATAAAAATGAAGTGAGAGTTAAAGGGAGGGAGTTGACTATGAGTATTCTGAGTTATTTGGACATTGTTTACATGTGATGAAAACTACGAAATTGGCAGTAAAGAAAAAGAATAATACAGATCATTCAAAAAAATGTTGGGGTGGAAGGGTAGAAAGACAGAAACTTGGAGGAATAGATCAGAGACACATTCACCATACACTCCATGTGATTTGATCTTGCAGCAAGAAGTCTCACTGGTCAACATATGCTCCCTTGGGGCCTGAAAACCTAACCTCATTCCACAAACTTCTTTGGTAGCATCCCAGACACTGCTCCCCAGTGATTGCTATGACATAGTTTAAAGCAGAAATTTGTTTGTGCACATTTATTTTATGTGAATCTGAATTTTGAAATATTGTGATACAGAGAAGCAGATTTCTTCCATTTTGATTCCAATGTCAGTGCTCTAACTCAGTCCATTTTTTAGATTGTGAGAATCTCAGTGCGATAGTACTTTATCAGTTATCCAAGATTTTTAGAGAACTACTTTTTCATTATAAATTACATTTTACATTATCATATTGAAACTAATATTATGGAGGTGAGTGAAATATTCCCATTAAATTTTCATGTAGAACTTGGGCTTAGAAAGAATGCTGTTGCTTACTTTATGCCAGGGGTTTATAGGAGATATATTCAGTTAAAGAATTCTATTGTTTTACAACACTGATATTGAAGAACTTTCTCATCAAGTTACCAATTATTTCTAGTAATCCGATCCACTGGTGGTGTATATTTCTCATACAAATTACTGGAATAAAATTTTGGTTTTCCAGAATTTATATACTTTCTTTTCCCAATTATCAGAACTAAATAATCCAATATATTCTCTTTTAGCCTTATATTCCAGGAAATTCAGGGTTCAATTCTGTAAAGGCTTTTATTTGTAATCATTTTGAATTACTCTGCTTTATATGTATTTCAATTTTGTCAGCCAAAAAATTATTTTTGAAATCAGATGAATTATACTTTAGAAGTATTTTAGTAACATATTTTAAATTTTTATCTACTTAAATGAAGTGTGCATGAATCATATTTTTGAAACCCTTTCATTCTCCACCCTCATACACATTATGACTCCCATACAGATTATGCTACATGTGATCCTTTGATGAGAATTATAACAGAATCTTTCTTTTTCAATTATCTTTTTAATTGCTCCATAGTGGATTTGAACAGAAGACTAAATAATTTTTCAAAAAAGAATTAGGAGTGATTTTTTAAAGTTATTATTACTCTTTTCTTTAGCAAGGCTAGAGAAGATCTGCTGAAAACTCAGAAAGAACGTGATTTTCATCGAATGCATCACAAGCGGATAGTCCAGGAAAAAAACAAATTAATTAATGACCTCAAAGGGTAAGCTGCATATATTTGTTGGTATATTTATTTACTTACTTATTTTCCTTTAAAAAATTTTTTTCGATGCTCAAATCAGGATAATTATTATATTCAACATTATACAATGTAATCAATTTTCGTGGTCCTTTTCCAATTCTTCCCTTACCTTCCCCTCTTTCCCACCTCTGGTAACTTCAAATCTGATCTTTCCTTTTGAAAGTTCAACATATTAATGTGATTGTTGCATCTTTCTTTCTTTCCTTGTTTATTTCTTTAGCTCTCACTTATGTGTGAGGACATGCTGTATTTCTTTCTGTGCCTGGCTTATTTCACTTAACATGGTTTTCTCTAAGTTCATCCGTGTTGCTGTGAATGGCAGAACTTCATTCTTTTTTTATGGCAGAGTAATCTTCCATTGTGGGGGGGGGGGGGATTGTGGGGTCTTTCTTTCTTTCCTTGTTTATTTCTTTAGCTCTCACTTATGTGTGAGGACATGCTGTATTTCTTTCTGTGCCTGGCTTATTTCACTTAACATGGTTTTCTCTAAGTTCATCCGTGTTGCTGTGAATGGCAGAACTTCATTCTTTTTTTATGGCAGAGTAATATTCCATTGTGTAAATCTACCACATTTTCCTTATCCAATCATCTGATGATGGATATTTAGGTTGGTTCCAACTCCTGGCTATTGTAAATTAGCTGCGATAAACTTGGGAGTGCAGGTATCCCTTCAACATGATGATTTCCATTCCTTTGAGTATATATCCAGCAGTGGAATTGCTGGATCATATCTGTAGTTTGAGGAAGCTCCATACCATTTTTCATAATAGCTGCACCAATTTACAATCCCACCAACAGTGTAGGAGTACCCCTTTCTCTGCATCCTTGCCAGTATTTGTTATTTTCTTTCTTTTTTATAATATGCAGTCTAACTGGGGTTAGATGATATCTCAATGTGGTTTTGATGTGCATTTCATTGATGCTGAGTGATATGGAGCATTTCTGCATGTGCCTCTTGCCCATTCATATATCTTCCTTTGAGAAATTTTGCTCCTTTGCCCATTTTTTAATCGGGTTATTTGTTTTTTTTACAGTTAAGTTGTTTGAGTTCCTTTTATATTATGGATATTAATCCTTTGTCAGGTGCATAGTTTGCAAATATTTTTTCCTACTCTGTAGGTTGTCTTTTTGATCTGTTAATTGTTTCTTTTGCTGTGCAGAAGCTTTTTAGTTTGATGTAATCTCATTTGTTAACTTTTCCTTTTGTTCCCTGTGCTTTTGCAGTTATATTCATAAAGTATTTGTTCAGTCCTACTTCCTGGAGTGTTTCCCCTGTTTTTTCTATTAGGACTTTTATATTCTTAGGTCTTATATTTAAGTCTTTAATCCATTTTGAGTTGGTTTTGGTATATGGAAAGAAGAAGTTTCATTCTTCTACATACGGATGTCCAGTTTTCCCAGCATCAGTTATTGAAGAGGCGGTCTTTTCCCCAATGTATGTTCTTGTTGCCTTGGTCAAAAATCAATTTGGTTTGGGCCGACCCCGTGGCTCACTCGGGAGAGTGTGGCGCTGGGAGCGCTGAGGCCGCAGGTTCGGATCCTATATAGGGATGGCTGGTGCGCTCACTGGCTGAGTGAGGTGCGGGCGACACCAAGCCAAGGGTTATGATCCCCTTACCAGTCACTAAAAAAAAAAAAAAAATCGAGTTGCTTTAAGTTTGTGGGTTGATTTCTGGATTCTCTATTCTGCTCCATTGGTCTAAGTGTCTGTTTTTATGGCACTGTTATGATGTTTTGGTTACTAGAGATTTGTTGTATGATTTGGAGTCGGGTAGTATTATGTATCTGGCTTTATTTTTTTTTTGCTCAGTATTGCTTAACAGATAAAGACTCTAAAATACCTTTTATAAAATGCGTAGGATTTTATGGAAAATGATGAATATAATGAGTGAACAGATAGGAAATTTAAGAAGTGAAATGAAATCTATAAACAAAGAACCAAATAGAAATTATAGAACTGAAAAAGATAATACTTACTGTGAGAAATTCACTAATTGTCCTTAGTAGATTGGTACATTGCCAGTGAAAAGATCAGTAAAGCTGAAAGCAAGAAAATAGAAAATAATCAAACTGAAGCAAAAAGAAAAAAAATGTGGGAAGAAATTATCAAAGCCTAAAAAAAAAGCAGAAAAAAACCCGGAGAGAATCTCTGGGACAATATTACGTGTTCTATTTTATGTGTTTCCAATTCGAGAAGAAGAGGCTGAGTGGACTTTCACATTCTGCTAGCTTACTCCAACTGTCAAGTATATCAGTTCAAATTATTCACTCAGAAACACTGGAATTGATTACTGTGTGGGTACATGGATCAAATAAGCTAACTGTTGAGTCAAATTTTAGGCAGGACCCTACTTATTCCCAGGCTCCTTTAGATTCCTATTCTAAACAAGTGGTCATCATGTTGCTTTGGGTTTCTGGATTTCACTGGCAATTCATTAGAATATCTTTCCCCTCAAGTAAATGGCCATAGGCAATTTTGCAGAATAATTGAGTCTATCATAAAAATTTAAAATTGCTGTGATGTTATGGAGTGCTTTATTGTCCACCAGGGAAGCTCAGGCATTTCTGCTTTGCTGAGGGTTGGCTACCACTTTTTCCAGGTTTGTAGAGGCACCCTAGCAGTGAATTTACCTCATCCACTGGAGTTCTTCTTAGGGTGTTAAATCTATTGTCTCAAGGTTAACCGTTTATCCAGTTTTACGTTCTAGCCCTTTTCATCAAGTACCTCAAAATCCAGTATCTGGGCTACTCTTCTGGTTCCTGCCAGTATATCCTGAATAATTCCTGCAGCAGTTTAGGTGTATAATATCTTTCCTCCCCTGTCACGCCATCAGCTTGGCACTTAGGAGAGAAGGTAGGAACAGTTCCGGAGGGGAATCTATTACTTTGCAGGAAAGAGAACTCTGCAGCAGCATGCATCACACCTGAAGGGTTAGCTCTTTCTAGGAAAGGGGGGCCACCTCTTTATGCCCATAGGGCCTGGGAAGAGGGGCTGCAGAACCAATATCCTCAAGGGCATCCTGAGAACCAGAGAAAAAGAGGGGGCATCTCATATTAATAAAAGGGTCAATTCATCAGAAAGACAATGTTAAACATGTAGGACTAATATAAGAGCCTCAAAATACATGAAGAAAAACCTGATAAAATTGAAAAGAAAAATAAATATTTCCAGTCATAATTGGAGATTTTAACACTCCTCTTTTAGTAATTATCAGAAAATGTAGGCAGCAATTCTGTAAGTCTATAGAACACTACCAATCAGTTGAACATAATTAACATTTCTTCAATTCTACCTTGGACTTTTCAAGTGCACATGAAATGTTTACCAAAATAGATCATATACTGAGCCATAAAACAAGTCTCTATAAATTGCAAAGGATTAATGTCATACAAATAGTGTTTTTGACCACAACAAAATTAAATTAGAAACCAATAACAAAAAGATCTCTGGAAATATCCCAAATGTTTGAAAATTAAGTAGCATACTTCAAATAACCTATCAGCCAAAGAAGGAAATTATAAAATATTTTGAACTAAGTGTTTGAAAATGTAGCATATCAAAATTTGTGGGATGCAGCCAAAGCAGCTCGAAGTGAAATTGATAACTTTAGATGCTTAAATTAAAAAAGAAGAAAGTTTTAAAACCAGTGATATAAACTTTCATCTCAGAAGCTTTAGAAAAGCAAATTACATACAAAGAAAAATAAGAGCTGAAATAAATAAAATAGCAAATTGACAAACATAAGAAAAAATTAACAAAGTCAGATGTTGATTATTTGAAAATATAAAAAATTTAGTAAACCCTAGCTAAATTGATCATCACCAAATATTGGCAAGGAGTTAGAGTTACCAGGAGTGTCATATATTGCTGTTAGCAGTATAAATACAACCCAGCAATTCAACTCTTAGGTATTTATCTAAAATAAATGAAGATATATGACCAAAACTTATCTTATATATATATATATATATATATGACTTGTATAAAAATGTTAATAGTAGACTTATTCATGATATCCCAGGTTGAAAACTCAGATTTTTATCAGCAGAATATTGGATAAACACATTGTAGAATATACATACAAAGGAATATTATTCACAATGAAAAGGAATAAAGTACTGTTGTACAAGACAGCACGGAATAATCTAAAACACATGCTGAGTGAAATAAACCAGTTTCAAAAGAGAACATGTTCTATGATACCAAATGTTTCAAGTTCTAAAATCTTCTGGGATGTTAGAAATGCTCTGTGTTTTTATAACAATGTGGAACTATATGGGTATTCATATTTCTCAAAAGTCTTTGAACGGTAACACTTAAGATCTGTATATTTGACTCCATGTAAATAACGCTTTAGCAAAATAAAAAAATAATTTGAAGGCATTAAAAAACATTTTTAAAGTTATTTGTACCATAGAATGAGTTGAACTATTTTTTCTGTGAGATATCAAACTATTTTTATACTTAATTTTGTTAATGTAATGTTAATCAAACGTGTTTTCAGGACCATCCTTTAGTTAATTTGGATATGAATGAAACTCTTTTTGTTTAATTGTCTGTTTTTTGTGGCCCTTGTATTTTTGAAAATTGTTTCTGAATTGATTAAAGGAACTGTAATTTTTAAACCTCAAAGAATAGCAGCAATCTTCTGGGTACATACTTAATACAGCAAAAGGTGGTAGTAGGAGATAGGGAACAAGTTATGACAGATGTGGTTTTCCATAGCACTGCACCCCATCCCCAGGTTGCAGTCAAGTTGCATGCTAAATAATATTTCCTGTGGTTCTTGGCTCTGGTATGTTGACTTTTGTATGGCTATTCATTTTTATTCCAAAGCAAAAAAACAAAAACTCAAAACAAAAAAGATTTAGATATTAGATGTAAATCACTTATTTAACTCAATTACCCTTTAAGATGAGATTGGCCTTTTACCTTTTATTTTTCACAGATTGAAGTTACATTACGCATCTTATGAACCAACTATCAGGGTGTTACATGAGAAGCACCACACTTTACTAAAGGAGAAAATGCTGACCTCCTTGGAAAGAGACAGAGCACTTGGGCAGGTAAAGAGAGACAATCAAACCTACCTCAAAATTAATTTTTTAACCATTTGTTTTATAACATAAGTATAAATATTGGTTTTGTTTCTGAGATAAATTTTAAAACATTTCTCACCAATTTTCATGAAAAAAAGATTCATTTGAAAATGTTCAGAAAAAGTATTTTATCCATTTTAAAACCTATAAAGATTATTATTAAATATTATTTAATTGGAAAATAATTTTATAGGAGATTATTAAACTCTAGTTAGAAGAAAATCTCAGACATTGTGGTCAGACAAACTGAGGTTTAGATGCCAGCTTTGACACCTATAAACATTGACTTTAGGCAAGTTACTTTAACACATAGAGCTCAGACCTCTCATATATAAAATGTAGCCACAAACACTTACCTTTTAAAATTGTTGTAAAAGTTATATGATATAATGAATAAAAACTCCCTGCAATCTTCCCTCAAATGACTATTTGACATTCTTAGATAATGACTTAATTTTGGGGGTTGTTTTTCTAGTGGGTGACACCCTTTTCCATTCTTCCTGCAGAGTTTTTACATAGGCCTAGGCCTAGAGCAGTGGCGAGGAACCTTTGGCATATAATTCAAGAAAAAGAAAATAAAATGTTTATATGCTACATTAAAATATATGAAAGTTTATTAGGAAATATAAAACTGCAACTCTGCTTAACATTCTTTTATTGTTTCCTGGAGATTTTCATTTTCAGCCAAACTTTTAGAAGCTACAAAAGCTTGCACAATGGTAATGCTCTTCCTTGAATAATTTTTTTTTTTTTTCCTTTTTTTTGGTCTTTTTTTGTGACTGGTAACGGGATCGCAACCCTCAGTGTCGCGCCCGCACCACGCTCAACCAATGAGCGGACTGGTCTCTATATGGGATCCGAACCCTCGGCGCCGCCGTGCTCCCAAGCGCTGCACTCTACAGAGTGCGCCACCGGGCTGGCCCCCTTGAATAATTTTAAGACATGCTTTATTCAAGTTTATTTTGTCTTTTGAGTGAAATTCTTAGCTACCGAAATGCAAAACGTCACTTGTTTCCATGTCTCTTGTGCTTGAATTTTAATTTTGTGTCCTTGAATGTTTGAATTGTAAGTAATGTTGAATACAATGAATTTGATAATTTAAATTTTTATGAAATTATATGTCCAACCTTCAGAATTTCATCTCCTTGCTCCTTTTTAGCTAAACTGTCTCCCAGCCTCCCAACATGAGACATAATGCTACATTCTGGGGGTTATTGAGAGCTAGATTCAAGTTTGCTTCTATTTTTTGTTCCTGCCACAGGACCAGCTTAGACTTTTGCTACCCATTTTACTCTCCTTAGTCCCACCAGCCTCATGATTATCTTCCTGTTATCCTTCTTCAAGAGGAATCCCTCAGTGACCTGGCATACATTCCCAAGTGACCACATATGCTTTGGCATCCATAATAGAACACTCAGACTGATCTCTCTCTCGTCAGGGATACCAGGGCCTTCCAGGCATCCATGCTGGCAAGTGCCTACAGTCTCTTCCAGATTGTTTATTTCTGCTTCTACACCCTGTCTAGCATTGGAACTACTGTTCATCTGCTGGGTGATCAGGGCTAAATTATCTTCTTGGAAGGGTTATCAGTTTCCCTATCTCTAACATGAAGGATATGCCCCTCACTGGCTTAGTGGAAAGAGATAAGGGTTGGGATTAGTGGGTATGAATCCCAATTGTGCTGTAAAATAGCCATGTGAACATTCAGTTCATTTACATATGTGCGTTTTCTTACCTATTAAACAGGGATAATTTAATAAATTAATTGCCGTATGATTATATGTGTCTAAAATGAAAACATGTTTAAAAAGTTAAAACCACTTGCTGTATGAGTCAGGGTTGAATATTCAAATATACAAAGAATTGTATCTTTATTATCTGCAATTGATTTTATTTTGTCCCTAAACTCCTCCTTCTGTTGAAATCAAAAGAAAAGATAACTTGTCTATTGAAGACCGTTCAGATCTTTCTGGGTTAAAACAGCCTTTTTGGGCTTTATAGAGGGAGGCTGAATATTATAGTAACTGACTGTTTAGCTAAAACATAATTATCAGTGTTAAATTTCTTCCTTCAAATGGCATCCTCTTCTCATTCTTCCCCAGATGATCCCAGGTAGAAGGAGCATGCATGTATCTGTATGACCTGAATCTACGTGCTTTTCCCTCTCTTCAATTTTCAGTGTAGTGTGACTGATTTGAGCATATACCTGGTGTTGAGGTGCATGGTTCTGGGTGATTCGTTTGAGTGTGAACCCAACACACCTTGCCAGATCCATGGCTTCTGTGAGCTCCTTAACATTTGTGGCCCACTGTCCTAACACTAGACCTTTTTCTGGCCCAGTGCTTCAAATGTTAACATTTCCGTGTACCTCCCTGAGGTGTGTTGAGGCTCTGATTTCCCTATACTGCAAATACAGGCCATTAGCAGTTTGAAAACCAGTTTAGGTCCATCTGCACAGACACACCTGTTTCAGTGAATTTTCAAACACTACCTGGAGAGTACTATGTTTTTACAGCACAATGAAAAATATGAAAGACTCTGTAAGTGGTTGTCTATTTTCCTAGGCTATTTATTCCCTGACAAACTACAAGTAAGTGTACTCTTATTCTTAGAGTATCCCCAAACTCTCTGGCTTCATTTGTCTTTTGCTTCCAACTAGTCCCACTTGGATTTTTATCTCGGGAGCTAAACCAGGACTCTCATGTCTGACCTGTTGCATCTCCTCCCTCAGGCACAGAAACTTCTATACTTTGTTCTATTGGATGGGATACCTTCTTGTCCTCTTCTACGTTATGAGTCACTCTGTATTTCTTTTTGTTCCAGCCAATGCTGGTTTTCTTCACAGGGTAATTTTTAATAGCTTCTACTTTCATCCTAAAAGTCACTCATTTTGGAAAATATTTACTAATGGGACAATTCTAAAGAGGTTATTTCTTGATATCTAAAATGGAACAGTTGGGATTAATAAACAGCTTTTTCTCTCTCAACCAAATATACTGTTCAGGATGGTAGATTCACTACAATTTGAGAAAGTCAGATTTAAATAGGAGATGCAAGAGAAAAAGCAAGGAGACCTCTAAAAAAATAAATGAATAAAATAAATAAATAGGAGAAGCCATTGCTGCCACCACTGGGCTGCCACCATAGGTTTCACTATGGACAATGATGCTAATACTGGGCATTTGATGCTCTTAGTGTTTTATGGCTGTCAATGGAAACTGGACATAGCAACTACAATTCTTAAGATAAATTCTGTATTCTACATGATTTTTCACCTAGCCAGATTTTGTTCAAAATCCAGAATAGGTATATATGATTATTGCCTATGCAATAATGTCAGTATTCTAGTTAGAAGAAAGGCTGTGGAAATATCGGTATCTAAAGCAAAAGTTGGAAGATTCATAATTCACTAAACACAAGTTGCTATGTGGCCAAAATGACTGTCAAATATTCTTTACACCAGTCTAATCCTAGGATCAGTTAGCCTGTTCTCCAAATTAAGGACAGAAAATATAATCTTAGTTCTAGCAGCTCTCTAGGTGTGTCTCGGAGAACAAGCCAAGGTTACCACTTAATGAACTAAACATGTTTGGGTACTCTTCATACAAAGAATGATTTATTACTTACTCTTCCTTTTTTCTGTCGGCACATACTTATTATGTATGCCCTTGGCATACAGCCACGAATTAGCTGTTTAACTTGAACCTATTAGTAGTATGTCATGAAGCTATAAAATAATTTATTCAAAATATTTGTACATTGAAAATATATTAAAATATATGAAAAGTTCCTTTATGATCCAATATAGAGGATATATCTATCAACTTTTATGTTAAGTTTTTGAACATTGCTTTATTTCAGTGTTTGACAGTTATGCTTTGAGAACTCACTTCTAACTAAAACTTTTAGGATGTGAGTTAAGAGCAGTTAAGAAGAATGTTATGTTTTACATGTGGGTTCTTGATCAGCACTTCCTTAAGAACCTTATCTTAATGGTAAGATAAGGTTCTATCTTTATTTTATTTTATTTATTTTTTAAACAGCTTTATTGAGGTATACTTGATATACAAAGAACTGTACTTATATAATATGTATAATTAGATAAGTTTGGAAAGTTCTTTTAGAATCATTTCAAGTATGACATTTGTGGTAACTGGCAAATAAAACATTTAATATACTCAATTCTTGACCATGCTAGATAGACATGGGATTAATGTGATCCATTGTTTCTTTTAGATTTTCTTTCAGACTATTTTCAATTTTCACTCCAAAATCAATGAGTTATTTTATATAAACACCTAGAAGTGTATTATTTATTGGTTATGAATATTCATTAGATACAAAGCTGATTGTCACCCCTTGACCCAATGATGTGGGGGCCAGATTCATACTGGCAGCATACCCATTACCACAAATTGCATTTGTACCCTGTGTCCCCCACCCAATTATCCCCAACCTCCCTCCCTCTTCCCCCTTCCCTCCCACTCCACTTTGTAGCCCATAGAATGTTCTCTCCCTCTGCAAGTCCAATGCTCTACTGTGGTTTTTTCCCCTTCCTTCTTTCTCTCTTAGCTCCCACATATTTGTGAGCACATGCAATATTTATCCCTCTGTGCTTTGCTTATTTCACTCAGCATAAGTTTCTCCAGGCTCATCTATGTTGTTGAAAATGGGAGTATTCATTCTTTTTTATGGCAGAGTAGTATTCCATGGTGTATATATACCACAGTTTCCTTATCCAATCATCCATTGATTGACATTTAGGTTGGTTCCATGTCTTGGCTATTGTAAACCAAGCTGTGATGAACATGGGAGTGCAGGTATCCCTTCGACATGATGATTTCCATTCCTCTGGGTATATACCCAGAAGTGGCATTGTTGGATCATATGGAAGATCTATCTGTAGTTGTTTGAGAAATCTCTGTGCTGGCTGTACTAATTTACAGTCCCATCAACAGGGTAGGAGTGTTCCCTTCTCCCCACACCCTCGCCAGCATTTGTTATTCACTGTCTTTTTGACTGTTTAGTTTACAATGTTTCTCATTAAACATAAACAAGGGTTGCAATTTAGAATTATTAAATGTTATTCAGTTTGTATATGAAAGAGTAAAAGTATAGTGTGAGATGACAAAAATCTAAGTATTTTTTAATGTTATTCAGTTTGTATATAAAAGTATACTGTGAGATGACAAAAATCTAGTAAGTGTGTGTTTATAAGTTGCATTAGTAGATAATAAACAGTGAAGCAACTGTTTTAAATTTATTTAAAATTTAAATAAAAACATAATTTAAATTATTTTCAGTTTTACAAAATTATTGAAAATATTGCTCAAAATTCTGAATTAGAACTCCATGATCCCAAAAAGACTGATTTGTTAGTATATATGTATTATAAATTATATTTTATCTTTTTTGTATCATGGGACTCTAATTCAGAATATATATTTCCTAAAAAAAAAAATATATATATATATATATATATTTTCTAGGTCTGTTTGCTGAGAGGGTCTAGAAGTAGTGACACTCTGGCAGCAATGAGCATACCCAGTGCTCAGATATTGGTTTCTAATGTCACTCTCTAATAAAAAGAAAAGAAGCAAAAGCTCTTTGGAGAAGTAGACAGGGAAAATATAGAATGAGCCTGGAGCATGCAGAGCATTTTGTTGTGCTAGAAAGTAATGAAATGCTCAAAAAGTGGGAAAAAAAAAAAAGAAAAGAAGAGAAAGAAAATCTACAAAGCAATTCATCTGTCAAAGGACAGATGAACTGTAGTGGGTGCCTGCACAGGTAGATGGATCCCCAACCAGATTTGGTTTGGATGTTCGGATTGATGATGCCAAGCACATACCAAAAGGGTGTGAAAAAGTTTATTACTTATATAATTGAATTCTCTGAGGAGAGCAGCACATGCCTTCAAGCATTTCGGAAATGGCTCAAGAGAGAGCAGGGAGAGGAAGTGGTTTGGAATTCTTACTGTGGTTGGGGATTAGGGCCAGGGTGAGAATTCTCATGTGTGGGGAGGGGCTTGCATCGTTCGAATCTCCCACCAATACGAAAGGAAGGAGCACCCAAGCATTCTTATCAGCCTGCCCACGTGTGGGGCACAAGTGGAAGAGGGAGAGGGTAAGATTTAAAAGCTGCTAGCAGTCAAACATCAAAAAACGATGTCAGATTCCTCATCACTGGAATGCAACCTAAAAGAGCTCCCAGTGATCAAACCTGCTCCAGCAATCTAGGCAACAAAATAAATAATATAGTGTTGGATTATAACCCGAAGTATGAAATAAATATCTATGATTCCATAATGGTATAAATAGATGGTTGAGTAAATAAATGGGGGAAAACAGACAAATATCCTGTATGAAAGAATCCCAAATAATATATGGGAAAATTCTTCCCTCAAGGAAGTTGAGCTTAACAACTTGGCTGTTAAGTGTTGGCCGCACTTAATTACTTGCATACAAAAGTAAGATGGAAACAGAGAAAAAAGTAACTTTACAGTGGAGAAACCTGGCAACCTACTTCAGGCAGGTGATTAAGGCTAACATCATCCATTTTAAGTCATGTTGGTAGCATGTACCACATGGTGTGATATGCTAATAATGACACTTCTTCCCTGATAGTCTTTCTTCCAAACCTGTAACTTTAGTCTAACAATGGGAAAAACATCAAACATATCCAAATTTAGGGCCATTCTGCAAAATACTACCTGACCTCCACAAAATTGACAAAGCCATTAAAATCAGGGAAAGTCTAAGAAATTGTCCCAGTTCAAAGGAGGCCAAGAATACATAATGACTAAATGTAAGGTAGGATTCTGGATGGGATCCTGGAACAAAAAGGATATTATGGAAAATTTAATGAAATTCAAACAAAATATGGACTTTAGTTCATAATAATGTATCAATAGTGGTTCGTTACTTGTGACAAATATACCCTCTTAAAGTATGATGTTAACAGGGGGAGTAGTTATCGGGCATATAGGAACTCTCAGTACTATATTAGCAACTATCCTGTAAATCTTAAGCTATTCTAAATAAGTTTATTTTAAAAATGTATAATCCATTTGGCCTCTAAGAATAGCTATTAATCTGTCAGTTTTTTATAACTCAGGTACTTCATGAGCACTAATATATAGGTTATAATTTATTATCTGCTATTTTCTATTAATAAAGAACTATTACTATAATATATAGTGATAGTAGAAAAATGTATGTACCTGTATATAATTAAACAGATGGTATTTTGTATTGGTATAATCATATACAATGAGGATGAGATAGCTTTTTTTTTTTTTTTCCTTTTTGTCTTTTTTCGTGACCGGCAACGGATCGCAACCCTCATTGTCGCGCCCGTACCGGACCGGGACCGGCAACGGGATCGCAACCCTCGGTGTTGCACCCGCACCTCGCTCAGCCAGTGAGTGGCCGGTCTGTATGTGGGATCCGAACCCTCGGCGGGAGTGCCGCCGCGCTCCTAAGCGGCGCACTGTAGCAGTGCGCCACCGGGCCGGCCCTGAGATAGCTTTTTAAGGTTGAATTTTAAATTTAAGTCTATTGTGCGGGAAGTACTCGTAAATGGTATGCCACCAAGCTATCAAGGTTCTTAATTATAAGACATGTTTAATAAAACAGGGAGTAGCTGTGGTTGGAAAATGAGCTAAGAGTTTTGGGAATAAAAATAGCCTTTTCATATTTTACTTTTCAAATAATACTTACCTCATATTTTATAGATATAAAGATAAGTTGCTGTGAAGCAATTTGAACAGAGGAAACCTCTGTCAAATTAGAGAACTGAATAATTATCAAAGTGTGCAATGAGTATTCTTGATTCAGGAAAGTGTATTGTGTAATAAGTGTTTCAGATGCTTGCCTATAACAGATAAATAATAATTGCCTGTGGAATTGAATATTAACTTAAATTTATGTTTTCCTCCTATTAAAATTCATGGTTGATTTTTAAAAAATTATAGGCATTAACCCAAAAGAAATGGATATTTTTGACATTTTGCAATCAATATTTAAACATTGCATTTTATCTAACCTTTTAAAAGTATTTTTATTTAACCTTTTTTTAGTATATAACCGTATATCTTCACATTTTATTTTTTAGATTTCTGAACTTCAAGGAACATTGAAGAACATGAAAATAGGACATAGTTACCGTGTTCCTGAAGTTAAAGGTAAATGTATAATGTGATGACACACTAATATTGGTTTGATGTTTTTTAAACTTATCATTCATCAACATTCTAGAGATACTAAAAGTGAGCAAGTAGTGTGTTAACTATTTAACAAATTAAAAATTTAATAAGAAGAGTAAGAGGAATTATAGATATGATACTGTATAGATTCATTTTAGGAGAAAATATGAGTCAACCATAATGGAAGGACTTCTGACCATGATAGAGTACCTGGTACCAGACTAGCCTCTCTTCATAAATAGCTCTGAAACTATACTATGCAGATGAACCATACTTCTTTTAGGCACTGGAGAACAGACAGTGCAAGTCACAGAAAGCAAGTGACAGAAGGAGAATTTATAAGGTGAGCTCCACCATCATCATGGCTTTGTGCCTAGGGGAGTTTCCAATCCAACCTTCATGGAGATACATACAAGAAAGGCATGGAAGTCCTGATGAACTGGAAAGGCAGAGATTATACTTCACGGCTGTTGAAGCAACTAGAATCTGTAGGAAATGGCACCAGAAAAGAGGGAGCTGCAATGAGGAATGGCCAGTTTGTGAGGGAATTTGCTGTAAGTCCTTAGCTGATGGCTAGGCTGCACATGCATCACAAGACTACCTGAGCCTTATCAGAGGGAGAAAATTCTGTAGGACTAAGAGGAGATCAGAGATTCTAGAGGTCTAGCAGTAAGATAAGGGAGACATCGTAGGTGTGGCCATGCCTGAGTGGAGAGACCTCTTTCATATCCTATTAATAACAGTTTAACATTCAGCATTCTATACCCACCCAATAAAAACCAGAAACAAAGCTTACACAGGATTCTTAAGGGAAACAGAGTTTGGAATTTGTGTCCTGACAAGTTAGAGTGTCTTTGGAAACATTTAGGGCTTTCCATGGGTCCACCCTAAAAAAGTATAATATTAAGCCTAGAATTTTAAGGTGATCAGCCAAACATTGAACTGCCTTCTAGAAAAGATATTAATGCTTATCAGAGAAAAAGTGTTATCCACACTTCCTAGTATGTAATTTAAAAATTCTAGATGCATTCAGGAATAGGAAACTGTGATCCACAACAAAACATAAAGCAATAAATGGAAACCTACCCTAAGATGGCCCAGGTATTGGATTTAGCAGATTAAAAAATGCTAAAGCAGCTCTTTTATATATGTTCAAAAACTTAAGGGAAAATATGATATTAATAGGTGAACACTTAGGAAATCTTGGCAGAAGAATGGAAACACACACACAAAAGCAAACTGAAGTACTAGAACTGAAAACTACAATAAATAAAAAAATAATTTTGTTGGATATACTTCAGTACAAATTGGAGATGATAGAAGTGTCAGTGAATTTGAAGAGAGACCAATGAAAGTTATCTACTTTAGAGAAGAGAGAGAAAAAGATTAAAGAAAAATTGCTATTTAATATATATACGTCATTGAAGTCTCACAATAAAAGAGAAAAATGAGAATGGGATATAAAAATATTTAAATAGATAAAGGCCTAAAATTTCTCAAACTTGATGTAAAATATCAATGTATCGATCCAAGAAAAGCAGCTAACCATAAACACAAATGCCACTCCTGGACACATCATATTCAAACAGTTCTAAGTGCGAAAGTCTTAAAAGCAGAAATAAAGAAAAGACGTATTATATGCAGGCGGCCAATAACACAAATAAAGGCATAATTGAGGCTAGAAGGAATGAAGTGGCACCTTTAAAGTGTGAAATAATTTTCAATTCAGAATTCTATATCCAATAAAATATTCCTCAAAAATTAAGTGAAATACAGACATTTTAAGATAAATGAAAGCTGGAAGATTATGTTGTAAGCCAATCTGTAGTACAGAAAATACTAAACGACTTTCTTTGGGCCTAGAGGAAATTATGCCCAAAGGAAACTAAGATCCACAGCACTGAATACAGAGAATTAGAAATGTTGAACTCTGGTTAAAATAAAAACTAAGTTTTCCTCTTCTTATTCTCTTAAAAACACTGACTAATTAAAACAAATATTATATATTGTGAGGTAATGTGTGTTAGGAATGTAAAAGTAAAAGATAAAATAAATTTGAGAGTGGTGGAAATGTTTCATATCTTGATTTTGGTGTGGTTATATGCCTGCTTATATTTGTCAAAAATCACCTCACTGTACAATTAAAATGTATGCATTTTATTGTATCTAAATTATACTTCAATAAAGTTGATTTTAAAGAGAAAGATGGGAAGCTCTAAAATATAGAAAGACTGCAAAATGGTGAATTTCCTTAATAAAATTAACATTCTATTATTTCCAGATGACTGTGTTTTCTAATTAAGGCTTAAAAGTAGTAGTCTCATATTTAATTTTTTTCTCTTCCTTCTCTCTCTATATAAGATAGCTGGGAGGAAGAGGAGACATAACTAGATCCAGAAACATGATATCCCTAGGATGTGGTCACTGCATCTTTCTTGGGCTGGCTTTATTTTTTGTGTCTTTAAATAGACAATTCTTTAGAGCAGTTTTATGCTCATAGCAAAATTGAATGGAAGGTATGGAGATTTCCCATATACCACCTGCCCTCAAATATTTATAGGTTCCCCCATTATCAACATCCCCCTCCACAAGGGTACATTTACTACAATTGATGAAACTACCTGTTATTATTGACATATTTTAACTCAAAGTCCATAATTTACATTAGCGTTCACTCTTGATGTTGTGTGTTCTATGGGTTTGGATAAATTTGTAATGACATGCATTCAATATTACAGTATCATACAGAGTAATTTCGCTGCCCTAAAAATCCTCTGTGCTCTGCCTAGTCATCCCTCTATCCTCCCTACTTTCCTAATCTTTTATGTTTAAGAAATATCAGTTTTGCTCAATGATGCTTGAAGACACTATGCAAGAGAATGTTTGTTGGAGTCATATTTATAGTAACACAACAATGCAAGCAAGCTTAACTTTTAAGTACAAATCAATGGTTAAAGTATAGTTGATCATACAATAATACAATGTCTCTAAGAAATCATACATAAGAAGTTCTTATGTTATAATATTAATATAATTTTAAAGAATTAAACATTTATATAGTATAAGTGCATGCCTGTCAAATATATGCAAAAAAAAAAATTGGAGAATGCACAGTAAAATGTTAAGATGATTTTCTCTGTTATGTGACTATTTTCTACATTTTTTCCTTACTGTATTTTTAATGAAAAATATGTATTTCTGTTAACATAAAAAATGTTTTCATATTAGGTAACTTTTAAGAAGAATACAATCAGATTTAAATATGAAAGGATGGTATGAAACAGTCATAATCTCAGGAAGTCTAATTCCCCAAATGATTAAAGATTGTGACAAAGAATAGATACAAGTATAAGTGTTGAGGGACTTTGTGCATCGACTCATTCTACTCTAATAATTTACGGTTTTATATATTTATCCTTCACACTTCATTTAAATAAACTGATGATTTACAGATAACTCCTTTATGAAATTATCTCCTGGTATTTAGTCTTTTACTGATATTTATAAAAGAACATATTGCATGTTTTTTCTAGACTGATATTTACAAGTTACTTTGAAGATCAAGTTTGTAACTGTATTTCGATCTGTTATATTTTGAAGTGACTTTTAGTCAAAAGGAATAAATTCTGACCCAACATGAAGAAATAAGTTATTTGATTTGTATGTCCCAGTTATCTGAATATAATTAATTCCTTAAATTCTATACCGAATAATTTTATGTTCCTTATAAACATGCACTCTAGTTTTGGATATAGGACTTGCAGTACCTTTCCTTTAGCTTCTTGTCTCAGCATTTGGCTGTGTGATCTTAGACTGAGTCATCACAGATTGGCTGAACTAGGGATCCTACTTAGCCAGGGGCTGTAATTGGATAAGAAGTCAGTTTGTTGATTGAGTGTTTGTTTCTTATAAATCTTGCCATTCTTCACAATTATTTTCATATGTACGAAATAATTCACAATTATTTTTATATTTTACTCCCTCCTTCTTCACTTGCTTATTTTAGTTTAATTTTAAAAATGTTATTTTTTCTCTCTTTTTCACTCTCTCTGCTATCCATCCATCCATCCATCCATCCATCCATCCATCCATCCATCCATCCATCCATTTATTTTGGGCAGAAGTTTGTATGCAGTAGAGATTCTTCAAATTAAATAAATGTTAGCCACTATGAAGTTAATAAAAACAAATTGATTGTCATTTACTCTGAACTTTGGGAAAAAGACAGATTAATTGTTATTTATTCCAAATTTAGGAAGTAAGACAAAAACTGTACTGATTTGGAGCAGAGTTATTGAAGAATTTTAAACATATTATTTTTTGGCTATCAAAGTGACATAATTATTATAGAAAATTTAGACATTGGTAAAATCTATTTTAGAGAATTATCTATAGTTGCTAGTACACATAGAGAATATTAGTAATTTAGTACCTAACCTTTTCATCTGAAAAGGGTTTTTAATTCTATGTTTATTCTTGTATGGAGGTAGAATAATAGAAAAATATGTAGAAGAAACTATGCAATAGTTAATTATTTTTGGCTATATATAAAGCTGACAAATACGTTTTACTTTATTATTATGAAGGGTAAATATATCAAAATTTACAAGAAACTATACAGAAAGTACTTTAATATTACATATTATGAAATAAAACTAATTTTTACAAATTAATTTCAAAAATTTTATGAAATATGCTGGTTTTGATTGTTATGCTTCTATTAGTTATTAATTAATATTACTTTGAGTTGCTTTAAGGTTGCAGTTTGAATGAAATAATGCCTATTTACCAGATCATTATGATACATATAATTATATTTTAACATATCTTATAATTTGTCATAGGAAATTGTGAATTCAGGATGAACAGCTAGAAGTTGGAAATGTTTGAAATTAAAAATTTTGAAAGCTGACTTCAGAGCTTTAGATAGGAAATAAGTGTCATATACAGTAAAGCAAAGTGCCCCTTAATTTAGTACTTTTAAATTAACAGTAAAACAAAGTACTCCTTACTATATACGTAGTAGACCAAAGTACTCCTTACATCTTATAGTTTAATTGCTGCTTTTTAAGTTTAATATTTTGTTGTTGCTTAGAACTACATTATAAAATGCCAATTCTGTGTGACCATATAGACTCTATGGTCTAATTTAAAAAGAGATACTATCTTCACAAATATACTATCTTCCCCTTTAACTCTGTTACCATTTTCTGAATTCCAAATAGATGTGTGCTTGGTCTACTCATTTTAGCTTACATGTGTCCTAATCTATTAGATATTTTCTATTTATCCCTTTGGGCTAAATTATGAATAATTTCTTCAAAACCTTTTATTCAGTTAAATAATTCTCTTTTCAGTTGTGTTTGATGTGTAAAGGAGTAAGGGACTGCCATGGGTAGGTACTTAATAAGTATTTCTTAATTGAAAGTATTCATGTATCTCTGATATTTATCTGGTGGCCTGAGCATGTTCAGGTAACATTGATTAATGTGTGTATACATGAAGGAATGATAGAATGGGTGAAATTTAGTGCTAGAAGGTACAATAAATAAAATTTCTGTAAATAAAGATGTATGTGTTTATTCTTAAGGAATTATACATTCCCTAAAATTTTGATTGTACCCAAGTAAAATTTGGGAAACAGCACAACACCAGTCATTAACAAGCATTAGATAATAAGCATGAAGATTGTATGATTAAAGCATGGATGTTGCTGGGATATTACTGAACATTAAGAAATGATATATGGAATTTGAGAATTATATGTACTTAACCATGAATGTGACATTCTTTGATGTCTAAACCTCTCATTTGTTCTACAAATCTTTGTGTAAGTAAAAGTGATATTTATTTGATATAAAGTGGAAATCATGTTTATTCTTGTTACACTGAGAAATAATTAGGAAGTGTTATTTTTCTGTACCACATACATTCTGCAATCTTTAGTCTCAACTTTTGTTTCCAAATGTTGAATATTTTTCTAAAATTTTATTAAAGTGTGCATTTTTGCAATTTCATTTTGCTTATGGAGCAACATATATTCACAAACCGAGCCCTTTTGGATTTTCCACTTTCATTTATTATCCTTTCCATGTTTGTTTATTTCTTCTTTTTAATTTTGTTTCTCTTATGAAGTGGTGCTTAGTAATGTCTGATATGATACATGAGATCTGCTCACATTTCTGGAATTATCTGTTGAAGTCTTGCCTTTCTCTCCCCACTGCTTTCTTCTTTCTTCTCTGTGGATATTATAATTCATTCTTCTTCTCATATATGAAGGGGAACAAAAGGTAGTGACCTTCACAGGGTTATTGACACAATTGCATGAAATAATACATGTAAATTGTTTAGAACAGTGGCTGTTACATAGTAAAATATCAGTGAGGTATGCATGCTAATTTTATTATTTTTAATTATTATCATTATCAGGTTGACACTCATGGTCTTTAAAGAGAAAAATACAAAAAAAAAGAGAATTAGACGTGAAACTTTCCCCTTAATCTCAGTAAGCTGTAAATGCTGCCTTTCTCCCACACTTAGGCATCCTAGAGGCTGTGGTACCCTAATTCGTAGCACCACTGAGGGAGGACAGGCAGTCCTGACACCCGAGTCTTTTAAATACTTTCATGTATCTCTGGGTTATGGAACATTCTGTTTTTATCTTATTGCAGGGGTTATTTTGAGGATTTTAGACATTTTCTAGAGCTGGTACTGAATAGGAAAAATTAGATCAGGAAAAAAACTAAAGGCCAGCAATGTGCTTTCTTGAATTTATAATCCTAGTATTCTTCAAGAGAGCCTTGACATTGAAATCATCCAGTAATTTTTGTGTTGATCATTTTTTCTCTATTATAAATCTAGTGTTATAATTTACAACATTGCTGTTTTATTTATGTCTTAGTGATTATAACCTTTTTAGTTGTTTGAAATCAGTTTGCTGTTTAGAAATTCAGGAGGAAATTATGTGTACCTAAGTATGTATATGTATATGAAAAGATGTGAAAGAGGTTTTTTCTGTTACTTCTTTCTCCCCTCAGATGATTCCATTAGGACTGCTGTTTATGTCCAGGAGTGTGAGGAGGCCAGTGTTACAACTGTATTGGAATATTATCCTGTGTTTTCCCCTTTCTGTTCTTTAGACAATAATATTTTATTAATACAATATTCTGTTGTTAAAAATATCTTATTTATTATCCAGATCCACTTGGGAAATTTTGTCATTTCTTACCATTCTCTCCTTTGGCCCTCTTCAGCTTTGTTTATACGCACAAAACCTCATGATATCAGGAATTTGGAAATAACCTGATTGGAGACTGGCTCCTTTGCTCTGTAACTGGCTTTCCATGCCATTTCAAAAACCTTGCAGTAATGTCACCCTACACTTTGGGGAACTGAATTTTGAGACACCATTAAAAGCATTTTGGTATGGTTTGAATATCATTAGATTAATGCTTTTAAAAGTACATGTATTATTAAGACTGTGGTTTTCATATTTTTGTTTATAATCATTTTTTCACAGATAAACAGCACAAATATTAAGAATAAATTGTATTGTCTTGTAGTTGCTCACAATTGTGAAAAAGGAAATACATTGGAAGGTCCTACTCAGAAAGGTCTTCGTGAAGCCAGGGAACAAAACAAACGTAAAACAAAAATGAAAGACAATACAAAGGTATGATATTTATTTTTGTTTCCATTAGTTTATACTTAACTCTTACATCTTTAGATCCATGTACATATATGGTATCATTATTTTATTGGAAAAAAATTTGGAGGTTATATTTATCTTCCAAGCCTCTTGGTTTACAGATGGACAATGGGGGTCCACAAATGTTACAAGTAACTAGCTAATTCAGGGACACATGCTTATTAGTGGCAGAGATACCTCAATGAATGACCTGGCCACCTATCCCAATGTAATCATGGCCATGTCTCTCACCTTTTTACTTTTCTGCTTCAAGTGACCTCTATCCAAAAGAAATCACTCCCAGATCATCTCCTATTGTTTCTTTTCTCATAACATAACTTCAAACTTTTTAGTCTTCTTTAAAAAGTCAAATGGAATAGAATTATGTCCCTTTTAAGAATCTCCTTATATTTTGAATACCTTTGCTTTGCAATCAGACCAGTACTTAAAATCTTTCATAATGAACAAAGAAAATAGTATTAAAAATATCTGGTGAGAGAGATCAAATAGAAGAAGAAAGAAAATTGTGTAAAACCTACGAGGGTTTAGTTTCTTGTACGAAAATTGCATAAAAGTCTAACTGAGGTAATGATTTTCTTATACAGTAGTTGTTACTTTAAGGTAGAGTAAAATATCTGGCATTTATTTTAAAATCAAAATATTTGCCATTATAATATCTTTTTAGTTGTGGTAATTCTAGAAAAAGAATTGACTTTTATGAATTCAAATCATAACATTTACTTAGCTAATACCAGTAACATTTCTTTCCTAACATATGTGTTAGAATCTGGTATATAAAATATTCAAATAAAGACAAAACCCTTTTAGGTTATACTAAGGTTTTGATAATAAACTTTTTTGTGATTTTTCAGATTAGTGTTTTGGCTGTTTCTCTATCATCACTATTAGTTTATGAATTATTGTATTTGAGGTAGATGCTCATTGGAGTGTCATCAAGAGCTTTTTTATCATCTAATGGTAAAGGCATTCTCTCTCATGCAGTAAGTCATGCTTAGAAGTGATTTGTTGATTCGTTCACTAAGTGCTTATGGCTTGTAAGACATTAATAATGCAAGGTTGAGTATGTGACAAAAAGCTACTAACATACAGGACAAGCAGATTACATATATATGCGTAGTATGTTCTTTTTTGGTATTGCATTAAAATGTTTAATGTAATACCTACAATATAATAGAAAAACTGAGGCCTTATAAAAGGGCTAAAGTGTAGAATAAAGTGAATCCTCACACTCACTGAGTAATCATTTTTGCTAATACTTCTCTCTTAATTTTCTTGTAGTTATTATTTATAGCAAATGGCTGAGTTCTATTTCTATTTTTTGTATTATTCACTTCAAGTTATACCTATTGACTCCCCTCTAGAAATAAAGAGGCATTTAGAGTACTTCACTAATTTGAGTTATATTATTATGCATATTGTCATAATTGATAACATTTACATTTATTCTGTAGCACTGATTTATTTTCTGTGCTTTGTAAGTTAATGTTAAATTTTAATTCCATAAAATAGCATTTAAGTGCATTATTTTTAAGTAAATATGATTTATTGCAGACTTAACTAATGTGACTAGGACCATAGAGAAGGAAAGAGACTATCTGAAGTGCACGGATCCAGAGTCTTCTCTTTTAAATCCAACCACCTGTTTCTACTTCCTTTGCCTATACTCAGCTGCCTCTCATCTGTTTCTCTCATTGTCCTTTTATGAATTGCTTTTTCTGTTTTCTTGGAATATCTCCTGGAGTTATTTTCAAAAAGGACCCATGGAGATAAGTTATCTCATTGTTAGCAAATCTGAATTGTTCTTGTTTTGCCTTACACTGATTTAATATTTGGTGGATATAGAGTACTAGGTTTAACTTAGTTTTTCAGTGGAATTTTGAAGGCATTGTTTCATCATCTTAAAGGGTACTAATACTTAATGTTGGTCTGATTCTTGTTCTTTTGAAGGGAAGTACAAATTACCATATGCAATAAAGTGTACAAGTAGGCCAGTGTTTTGAACAAGTAGGACATTGAGGTATAATCACAAAAGCAGTTTTGTTTATGTGACATACTACTGACACTTTAAGCTGCTTAGTAGAGATAATTCAACCTTTACCCTTGAGTGAAAATTTATTTCAGGCTTTGTGATAATTAGTCTGTGTTCACGTTAGTTTACTAAATAGAGTCTCACATCAGTAATTAGATATGTCCAGCTTTATGTAACGACAAAACTCCACATTTGATGTAATGTTAAATCTTCCATCCCTCAGCTGGGACCTTCTTTGGGTAAGACACTTGCAGGGGGAAAGGGATCATGATGGGAGTGGTGTGTTATCCTTCCTAATTCTTTCTCTTTTTCTTTTCCTCTAGTTTGTTAACTGGCAAGGTTGAGGAGTAAAAGGGAGGAAGTTTAAGAGGAATTGAAAAGTTATTATTTAACTCGAACTACCTTATGGTGGCTTAGAGTTCTTTGGACCTACAGATACTAAAAGCTATTGCCCTGATGGGCACTATCATGAGCCCTTCAGATGCACCTACCAACTCCTCAAAAGAACTCCCTTTTCTAAGATCAATGCTTCCCAGTGGGCTAACCTCATCACATTCTCCCTAGTAGTATACCTCACAAGTTCTTTCTATTTGAGTCTCTTTTTCCTGTCAGGCTCCCTCTTGGATATTTTAAAAAACAACTTTAGGCCAATATTTCAACTGGTATCTATTGTAAGAAGTGGAGTATGATTTTTCCCCTGAGTATGCTCTTTGTATGTATGCTGTTACAGACTACAAATTAGGCACTGATTCACCACCGTTTCTAACCACAAAGAACAAACATCAGTCTCCCTGGGGGTTCTGTTAGAGGACCTCACACTGGGTCTAGAACTCTGAATTGCCTCCTCAAGCCTTGGAGGGGTGGGACTCATTTGAGGGCTTTCTCTCAACAAATCCTCCTCTCGTATCTTTATTTCCATCCTCTTCATCTTCTTATATCTTTGATGTGTGTGAAAGTTTAAAAGAGTCAACTAACTGTTTTTAGTTAGACCCTTTAGAATTTTTTGCAAGTGGTCTAATTCTAATACTTATTTGGAATACAGAAAGCACCGGATCTTGGTGCTTCTGTGAAATTTCTGATTTAATATCCTCATCCTTCTTTTCTCTATTTCTTTTAGGTATTCTTTTTTTTTTTCTAAAGAGTTGTTAAATTTCAGCAGAATGTAGTTAGATGAAGCTCTTATTTATTTGCTTTTGTTTTTTATCTCTCATATAACACACAGAACTTTTCAATCTTAAGCCTAGTGTGCTCCCTTAGCTCAGGGAATTTCTTTTCTATTATGTATTTGAATTCACTGTTTCTTTTCATTTGCTGAAATTCCTAATAGATAAATGTAAACTTCTTAAATCAATATTTCATAAACCATTACTTTTCTTCCATGTTTCCATCTGTTTACTTTGCATTCTAATATGTCTTCTCAGCTTTGCCTTTCAGGTAACTGTTTAGGAATTGGCTTTATCCAATTTATCACTGTCAATCCATTGAATTTGTTTTTATTTTGAAAATTCTATAATTCATTTCCAAGATTTATTTTGTGTTCTCCAATTACTCCTTTTTTTGTAGAAGCCAGTTATGTTTTCATGATGTAATATTTACTTGAATACCCTTAAAGATGATAATTAGACTTTTTCAAAAATGATTTTCTGTTCCCTGAATTTTCTCCTTAATTTTCTCCAGAGTATATTTGTCTTCATCCTTATCTTTTATTTTGTTTTGTCCTTATTATTTTTCTTCAAATGACTAATGATCCTTGGTCGAGAATTCATATTCATGCATTAGGGACTAGATTAGGTTATAAACTTCTTGGGTTCATAAGATATTCTGTTCTGTGTCATAATCAAAACCCCTAACTGGCTTGAGTGTGTTCTGCAGTGATGGATGTGTGAGGTCTGACTGTAGGCTCTCTGTTAGTCAGTGGTAGAGTCAGCTTCCAAGGGCATTGGAGCAGAGCAGGCAGGAGGGCTGGGCAGGATGCAGACCCCACAGTGAATAGAATAAATAGGGCAATTATGGTACTTTGAGGTTGAAATGCAGTCATATATTTTACTGATGTTGTCTTTCCTCTCCCACACCCACCCTCATATCCTTCCACACCCTACCAGATGGTAAGGTGCCAGAACTTGGAGGGAGGCGGGGGGGGGGCGGGTTGCAGGGGGGGGGATAGTGTTACTCAGGCTTTGTTTTTCTCTCCAGTCTCAGCACTCATATGCATATCGCCCAAGATAGTTTACCCATTTTACTTAGAGAACAGCTTTAGTCTGTGTGCAAAAGCATCATCTAGTATCCTCTGTATAAAAGTGAGGAAGAGATAGGAAGGAGGAACAGTTTTCTGCTTTTGCAATTCTGCAAGCAGTTGTTTGGTGAATTTCTTTGATGTTTTGCATCTTCATTCGAGTTAAGTCAGGAAAATGTTCAGGGTTTCAGTCAGGAAATGGAACTACTTTAGATCTTTTGAACAAAATTAATACAAGAAAGTGGTTACCCAGGTGATAGAAGAACTGAGATATCAAATAGGGGACAGGATGACAGCTCAAAGATTGGTAATGGCAGGACACTGCCACCATCTTTTGTATTGGTGGCACAGTGGGAGAACAAGCTTTACCAGAATCCAGAAGCTGGGGCCATCTGGTAGGAGTTGGTACTGTTGAGTAAGGGGCTCTTTCGTAGGAGATGGAGACGTGGAAGACATATGAGTATCAGGGAAGGAACTTCTAACATACAATGCTAGCAGAAGAACAAGAACAAAAATATTCATACCTTAACAGTTTATTTCCAGTCATGGCATATAGGTAAAATGCTTCTTCCTTCTTTTAGTCATCATTAAATGTTTGCCTTTGCTTAGCCAGAACCTTGGCTTGTTAGGGTTTCTTACCTGGTGGGTTGACCCATATCTTCAGTCTACAAAGATCTGAGTATTTAGTGGTCCTGTTATCTT